TTTTTTTTTTTATGGCAACATTTACACTTCTCCATTTCCGTTCATAAAAAATACAGTCAATGTTTACCATCCTGGATCCAACAATGATTTCATTTTCCTTTCCATCTTCCGGTGAGTTGTTTAGGAAAGTTCTCGGTCATTTCACTTTAATAGGAATCAAATTCAATGCGAAGCAAATCGTAGCACTCAGAGGTATCCACTTAAATTTTTCGCGGAACAAAGTAAGACGTACCGAATACACTCGTCGCGACTTTATTGATGGGGTGTTGACTTCACCTTCCTCCTTTAAGCTCGTTAAATAAACTTTTTTTGACCACTTTCGGAAAAAGTCCTGCCATCCAAACATTTTCCCACCTACTTTCAAGAAGTAAACTTTCCATTTTTGTTTCTCAAACAGCCAATTCCGCTGGAAACAATAGAGGTACCCGGCAATTTTGAAACCGTCCGGCTCATGGCGGCCATGTTTGTTTACAACTCGGCCGCGGATCTGATCGCGCGCGCCATCGTTTATTTCTCTCGCGAGTAATTTGCTTGTGTGTATCTTGGAATTCATTCTCCGCGCGGTCAAAAAAACCCTTTCGTGCCTCCTTAAGGGAAAGGAGTTCTAAATTTGCATATTACGATAGCTTTATGAATTTGCATTTCGTAGATAAGAGAACGAATGCCAAAAAAACAATGTTATGTCTATTGAAGAATCTGAAATATAAATAACAGACTTTGCTCATCTATTTCTTTAACCGTCCTCTCGCTTCTGAGGCCATTTCCTTGCCATTCTGAGCAGGTTTAGAGTTCAAAGTACATTGCCAACAGCTGAATTGTAAAAAGCTGATTTTTTTTTTTTTTGACGAGTTTATAAGGATGGCCCAACGTCAATCGAAAATAGCTCGAAACTCTCGTTTGACAGGGTCCTGCTCATATTTTGGGCCTCATTACCTGATACAAGAGCTTGAATAGCCAGTCATATTGTACAATTGTACACATTTTCCCATCGATCAATATTTCTTTTTCTGCTCCGATCTTACGAAACGAATTATACACGTGATGCGTTTGCTCGTTGTAGTTCGTGATGTGTTTGTTGTCGTTGCTATAATCAGGGGTGGAGACTTATACGAATGGTGCGAGATATCATACAGAATGATAAGTGATACAATATGTGTAACGGTGAGCATGAAACGAGTTTGATCTCCGCGAACAGCAAGATCATACCCCACAAAATCCTCCCGGTTAAATTTCTGAGTTTATTACTGAACAAGAGAGAGATGTTTTATTTTTGTTGTCACGAGAGTAGAACAAAGGATAACAGTTTGAATTCCCACGAGGAATGGAAGGTTATCTGCGCTTCAATGCACTGCTACCCAGCTCAAATTATGCTCATGCGCAGCCGCACAGGGAGTCTTCTGATGTAAGCGTACCGCTCGACTTATGTGTCTCTTCGACGCATTTCCTTATCGATAACTTTCGATGCGCGAGTCCTGAGTCTCTTAGTTAGAGTTCGTGATGTCTTTTGCCACAAGTATTGTTTTTTTGATTCTTAACTTTGTTTCATTCCTATCTGAGGCAGGTAAGTATACGATAACCCACCAGTTGATGCGTTTGGCGAATATTTCCTGTTGGCGCCAAATAGTCGCCTGTTGTTGAGGTGGGATCAAGTTACAAACACTGTTTCATTTGCTTTATAGAGTCGCAGCCCATCTTCATAAAGGAGCCTCCTTCCCCTTCCTTAGTTTTGGAAGGTAACGAATTATTTCTACAATGGAAATCCACTCTTGGTGAATCGCTTAGCGAAGCTAGGATCGATCTGTTGACAAACGGACCAACAAATGTTGCAGCTCTCAGTGCATTAGACGTTTTTCTGAAAAGACCAGTCCATATAGATCTTGCTTTCGTTGGTCGGGTGGCAGCAAATATTACAGATACACAAACAAACTTAACTTTCTTTTCGGTGAACAGAAATGATAGTGGGAAGTATCGACTTCAACTGGTTCTTGATAATGCAGCGCGAACGAAGGTGAACAGTGAAGTGGAAATCACAGTGTTGTGTAAGTAGTAGCAATCATTGTGCATAACGGTAAATTTATTGAACTTAGGAAATCACAGGGCTATGGTGTGGGATTTGAAGAAGCGACGAATTTGAGCGATTGCCTTCATGTCTTGGCGACAGTGTTTTTTTGTTTTTCCTAACAAGTACGTGGCTTCTGTAAGCTTTGATGTTGGCTCTGTTAGCTAAAAGCATTAGCTGAGAGCATCCTCAAGTCCGCCATAAAATATAGTTGTGTTATACTCCTTAAAACTGGTGAGATTATAATCACGCAGAAAGTTAATTAGCTTGTCAACTACGCGAGAATCTTTCAAAAGCGGAAGATTTTCGGTTCATTGAAGACAACTTTCGCTTCGAATCATACCGCTGCACAAGTATGCTTGTTAAATAATTATTTCCGCGTGGCTTTGTGAGAAATTGTGCGCTTAAAAAAATTCGATAGTTACTCCTTGGTCAAGAAAGAGACAGATAGGGTACTAGTATACCGAAAGTTTAAACCATTTCTTCCATAGAAGATGTGCAAGCTGATAAATTTATGCAAGCACAAATGTAAACAGACTGCAAAGTCATGTGAGCTCAGTAGCGGCGATTGTGTTTTCTTTCAACAAATCCTATGGATATTGATTGTTTCAATTAGCAGAAAAATTTCGATCGAGGTCGGGGTTTTCAAAGGGAGAACGAAACTTGGGTAATATCTAACCTTTGATGACGAAGTCTAGAAAACTTAGTTGTGATTAATTTGCATAACTGCAGACATGTTTGATGATTTAATGAGATAGCTATGTAAAGTTTGAAAGGACTTTTGTGTATTCGTATTTTTTTCAGCGCTATGAAGGCCTCATGATCTTCACAATTTAATACTGATACTATTGTTTGGCGGTTTGATAGCTCGTGTGTGTTTCTTTATGAATTTCATAAAACTGCAGTTGTGTTTACAGGGAGCGAGTGGCTGATAATGGTCATTTTTTGTCGCATTAATCATTTATATTGAATCCATTATTCGAGTTGTTTAGTCACTTCCTAAAATAGTGCTTTGAATGTCATACCTTAGTCATGGCTACCCTATTTGGGTGTTGTGTCTACGAATAAACAAAAACTATACGTTTTAAGAAGAAACTCAATTTTCGATTTGGGGATCGAGAGAAGTTTCTGGTTTTATGCAGTTTGAGGACTATGAATTCATCTTTTAAATTGCTTTCATTCTCATAAGGCAGTGAAGGATGGCTAATGTTTTTACAGCACAATGTATACTGATTAAAAAACGAATTAATTCTTTAGACCAATATGTGATATTTCTCTTTGAGAGTAATGTTTGCAAAATCTTCACATTTAGCACAGAGAAAGTGAGAATTTTTACAGTTTGTCTGTGTCAATTGCTCTTGAGAATTTGGAAGGAATTTAATTGCCCTTTCTGGTCATTTATGTGTTTGTTGCTATGGCATAAACAAAATCTTGATGTTGGTTTGGTGGTAGACATTTGTACTGACTTAAACATGAATTGAAATAATTATGAGTTAACTTTCTTTCTTTTGAGGGACAGTTTATGTCTATAATCTACTTAAAACAGCCAAGCTGGAAACATCTTTACATCAGGCACGCAACCACGTTAGGTTCAGAACCTCCCTTCCATTGTTTGGAATCATGAAAGCATTTAAAAATTGTGCATAGTAATGACCAACTACCACATGTTTGTCTTGAAACGTGCCAAAAACTGCATTCCTTGAAAAATTCCTTTGACAGTTTCTCCATTTTTATCTTGGCCTTTGGGAAAATTTTTTTTTTAATCACTTGTCTTTATTATAGTCCTCTTTAGATGCTATATAGCTTTCAGAAAAAGTTCTCTTTGTGTGGATTCACTTCCAGAGACAAATGCATGATTGTGTTTGGAAAGCAAAACCGAAAGTCAACTGAACGTGACAGGACTTTGAACCAATATACTTCCTACATGTGGTTGATGAAACACTCTCGTATCATTACCTGAGGCATATCTCCAATTTTTAAGACCTCTCTTCCCCTATTCCTCACATATTTTACATCTTTGTTTAACACCACGAATCCCAATTTAGATTTTACATTTTACGGAGATGCATATTTCTGGCTGAAGTAATGCGTGGGGATTCTGTTAGATGCTTTTAAACCTTAAGCAACCTCTGTGTAGTCCATCATCATCACCAGAAATTGTAGATCTTCTCCTGCCTTTTATTGGTTTAATAATTAGTTTTGACTACAGCTGTTGTAGTTTACTACTGTGTAACCCCTCATATCCTGGCAACTACAGACTGTAGGTCTGTGCCTGGTGCTATCCATCAGATAAGTATTAGTTTATTTTCTGAACACTTCTCAACTAAGTAGTGCTTTATCCACTTGATAGTGGATATACTCCTTGGTCAGGCATGTAGCATCAAACAGTAATATTGTTGAATCATATACAAACCAAACCTGCACACAAATTTTTCAATCTTCTGTATTTGTATAATCTAAGTGTTTTTTCTTTCATTTTATTTTGCCATCATGAACCAGTTCATTAAATACTTTAGTTATGCATGTTATGGTGGAAACTTATGACTATTGTTTTTGTTTTTTTTGCCCATGGATTTGGTTAAATATGGAAATTGTGTTAGTAATTTGTTAATGAAGAAGGCCTTTTATGGAAACTACTTTGAGGAAGTGAAAGAGAGCAAATGCTCTTACATCTCATTGTTTAATGACTAAAAGTTATTTTTTTTTCTTAAGACTATTTGGGTCTTGAAAGGAAAACAATGTTTTTTTCATGATGTAATGTCTATCAAAATACTCAATTGTTTCCTTCAAACAGTGATTGTGCAAATTCTCATGATTTTTCCCACCTTGTCTATTTCAAGTATTTATAGATGCTAATGTGCTTAATATTATTTGTGTTTTTGGTTCCTATGATGTAAACAAAAGCTTGATATTGGTGTGATCAACAGAAATCTGCTCTGATTTAGTTCTACATGTACATGTATATTGACAGAAAATAAATTTCTTAATTTTGAAGTTTTTTTCTTAGAAAGGTTGTTTCGAAATTACTGAAATTGATAGAGAAACTGAAGGTATCTATAGTCATAAGGGATGCATCTGTGACAGGTCATAGTGCCTCTTTCATCATGCGGAGCAATTAAAACAAATGTTTTTCAAATTAATGACTAATCAACCTCGAGTTGTTTTAAAAAACTTTGATGTGATCTTAACTCCCACAAAAATATTCTATAATGATTGAAATTACTTTCAATAATATTGGTCTTGGGGCATAAATTTCTTTTCTTTCAATTCATGGCATGATTCTAGAGCTTTCACAGTATGTGAGAATTGTTTATCTGAGATGTGTAATTTGCATGGCAGTATTTTTTTAAGAACACCTGATATTCAAAAAAATATGCATGAAGGACTTTACACCAATAATTATGTTATTTGTGGTTATGACCCATATTGTACTCACTTCATCTCTGCCAATCTCATTCTTGAAGTTAAAAAACACTGTATAATGCATAATTTTTTTTAGATTTGAATACATTGTACAGGTGTATGTTGTGTTTTTTGATAACTAATTATTAGTTGCTGAATTTCTTTTTAATTTGATGTTTTGAAATTGCACCAAACCAACCACCAATGTTCTATCAACATCATACAGTATATTTTCTAATCCACCAAGTAAATCACTTTAAGCAAATAATATACTTTTGGGTATTTTATAAGACTTTTCTTGTGAATAGCTGCTACATTCATGACAGTGTATACAGTGTTTTTTTTACACTGTAGATAGCCTGTGTTAATCTGAGGTTGTTTAGATACATGCCGGCACATCATACATTGGAAAATAAACTTTTAAATCTTAAAATCTTCAAATTTTAGTAACTAAAGAACTGCATACATGTGCATATAGTCCTTTTAATTCATTTCCAGGGTTGTTGCTCAGTTACTGTTTATCTTATCCACCATACCTCTTTAAACAGTGATGACCATTAAAAAAGGATTCTTTGTGTAGTAAAGAAACTAAAATAAAATTATTTTGTGCATAACTAATGTAGGTGTGAAGATATCCAATGGTAAAGATGATAGTTTTACTTGATGAGCAAAAGTACTTGTATTTCAGGGAAAAGGTTAGCTCTAGTAGGTCTCGCATGCAAAATCTAGTGCAACTCTCTTGACCAATTAATGGTACATTTAAATGTACATGTTTAAAGGTAATGTTTGCTAAGGAGAAGTTTCCCTGTTTTTACATTGCATTCATTCTTGTCAACTTGTTTTGGCATTTTTCTTTTTGCGTTTGGTTGCTGGAATAACAAACACCTGTACTCCAGGTGTGGTGTTTTTTAACACTCTTTTATTAATGGAAAAGCACTCACTTTAATAAAGTGTTTCCTAGAGATTTGTATGACTCTACCCAAAATTGTTTGTTTGTTTAACAGATCCACCAGAATTCACCAGCATCAGTGATGATGTAGTTCTTGTTGAAGGTAAAGGTGACCCCAGTGTTACCTTAGAGTGTACTGCAGATGGTGAACCAACACCAAACATCACTTGGACCAGAGTATATGATAATGGAAGTGATGGTGGTGTACTGGCAACTGAGAGTCAGTTTGTCCTTGAAAACAACAGAACAAACAGTGGAACATATCGCTGTACGGCATATAATGGGATAGGAACTGCACCAAATCGCACAGTTAAAGTAGAAGTTAATTGTAAGTAGATAAACTATGTTGTAGCTTAAATTTTTTTTTTCATAGACTAGTAATGATTGTCATACTTAAGGTTAAAATGATACAAGTAGAACTCAAGAAAGAAAAGGAAGCATAAATCAACCACAAAGAAGTAAATGAGAATTTACTTGTTTTTTATGATCGCATAGTCATGAATGCACTTTTATCAAAAAATATAATTTCAAATAGATGGTGGTAATGTAAGCAGGGTATTAAAAAGCCTTACAGCCCAGCATAGGGCATTGTCAGATTCAAGGTGAATAAATAAAGGAAAAGGGGCTTAGTGTAATTTGTGAGCTGAAAAGAAATGAAACAAGTTTAAAATCTGTAATTTGACAAATTGAATTCTGTAATTCTATAATTTGTACAATTTTGCAAGTTACAGATTTCTATTTTGCAAATTAAAGATTTTAGTCATTTCTTTTCAATTTGTTTTACAAATTACAAAAAGCCAAAAAAAGCAGCAAGTCAGAATTAAAAAAAAAAAAAGAGGAAAGGAGGAGCAACCAATCCCCATGTGACATTGGACCTAAAAGAAAAAATTTGGGTATGCCACACAGGTATGGACAATTTGCTATCCTGCCTTTCCCCTCAATTTATGGGTGCATATATACTGATGCACAATCAAATATTGTTTTTTTTCCTTTTTCTAGTTAAACCAGAGATTGTCAAGCCATTGGTGAATGATTCAACTGTCTGTGAAGGTGATGTCATTAGTATCACCTGTTCAGCAGACAGTAGACCTGCAGTGCATACTTATCAGTTGTTTGAGAATGGAATACTAGTTGCTGATGGAAACAGCTCAGCTGGGGTGTGGATAGTAAGGAGGGATTTAAAAGAAGGAAACTTTAGCTACAGATGTGTGGCTAATAACACTATCAGTACATCTGAGGAGACTGTCAATATCACAGTGAAAGGTACGGTGTGAGAATGTGGTTGTTGACTGTCAGCAATCTTTTTAGATACAGTTTGGTGAAAGTATGCTAGTGTTTACCTCTCCTGTGCAAAAAATGTCTGGCTGGACAGGAGCCTGAATACCACTTTACATTAGAACCAGACAGTGGCCTACATGAAACTACTATAGGACATGAGTAGAACCAGACAGAGCCACAAAGAGCCTAATAAGAACCTGGCACAGAGCAGAAAATGTGCATTAACCCTCAACCATGCAAGGGCCAAAAAATTGTACCTAACAGGACACGAGCCAGATACAAGCCAGACATTAGACTGACACTCATCAAGACAAGAGCAGTAATTCAGCCTGAAAAAAGCCAGACAAAAAAATATTGTTCAAAACAGGAAAATCAGCCTGATATAAGCTGGGCATTAGCCTGATTGCACAAAAATGATAAGTGATGTAGTAATTGCTTAAAGCCCCATTTTACTTTGGCTGTACAACTCATAAAACACACATAAATAACGACAAATAGTTTATTGATAAACAAATCTCGATACACTTTTGGGCTAAAATACAAGGAATGCACTTCATCTTATCTAAAAATAAGGCAAATGTGGGGAGAGATTCCACTAAGCTGCACCTCCTAATCAAGCCGGAGGACTTTCCACAACCATGTACAAGAATTTAGGTTACAGTGTGACTTTGTTGGCGGCTTTTGGAATTTGCTTGCCATTTTACTTTGAAGCAAAGCAGTTATGTTGCCTGTAAATTGAAAGAACTAAAGGTAACATTTTGGCAAACTGATTGAGAGCTGCTCTGTGATGCTGAGGCCTGGTCCACACAGGACTCATTTTCTTGATTAATCAACTGAGAAGCTAACCATTGCTCTTCAGCCATTTCATTCGAACTCCGTGTAAGTAAAATGGAGCAATTCTGAGGAAAATTAACGTAACCTTTCCTTTGACCTTTAGAACAGTGATTAACTTTGGGCATCTTCTCTACATGTACAGCAGTGCCATTTGGCATTATAACGTAAATCTTGTTTGGCTTGAACTTCCTTTGTGTTGATTAGCTAGGTATCAAATGAAAACTATCTTTTCAAACATCAATCCAATCACAGTAAAGGTATGTTAACTCTCTTAAGACTTTAAACCCCAAAGCAACTTTTCATGTAAACACCAAAATTAAAAGAAACATGTATCAATTTACTTAAACATTAATGCCTTTGGATTTCCTGTGGATTACAAACTTAACCAATGAAAATTGAATTTCAAACAAAGAGGTTATTTGAACTGTGACCTGAAAACAGAATGATTGATAGCTAACTCAACTACAGTGTAGCTCTTTATTCATACTAGACTTGCAGGCACTAAGCAAGGGTGCTGGCCATTTCTGTGTTTGAATGAAAATGTTGACTGGTTGGATTATCAGTCTACTGCTGTATCACTTCTGTTTCTTTGTGTTCCCAAGCACAGGACTTGTATTCAAGGCTATACTGTAATTTTTAAAAAGATTGTATATTAAAATATTTTTCTCCTCAATGCTTTTTCTCCAAATTGTAAATACTCAAAGCTCTGCCCTAAACACTAAGTTAAATGTACTTTAATATTTGTTCAGTAAGCCTCAACTAAACCCATTTCATAGAATGATCAACTATTTACCTTTCTTTTTCAAAAAATCTCATACTAACTTGTCTGTGTCAAGAAAACAGACATAAACATTGTTGGGTGACTTTGTT